CAGCGCAGCGAGTAGGTGACCTGGGCGTTGGTGCCCGCGTCTGCGTCTGTGGCGCTGATGGTTCCGATGTGCAGGGGGGGGCTGTTCGCGGACCAGCAGGGTGTAGGAGGCCTGGGTGAAGGCGGGGGCGTTGTCGTTGACGTCGGAGACCAGCACTGTTATGCTGTGCTCTGTGGTCAGCCTGGGAGTCCCCAGGTCGGTGACGGTGATGGTGATGTTGTACTCGGCTTGGCTCTCTCTGTCCAGTGGCTTCTGTGTTACTAGGGTGTAAAAGTTCTTAAATGTTGGTTTCAGGACGAAGGGCAGATCGTTTTGGATGGAGCAAACCATCTTTCCGTTGTCCCCGGAATCTGGATCAGAAACACTAAAAACAGCCACCACGGTTTCAGGGGCGTTTTCTGGGGTAGATCCGGTGAGTGTGGACATGGTCAGTTCGGGGGCGTTGTCATTGACATCCAACACCTCTATAGCTACAGTGCATTTCCCTGAGAGGCCTCCGCCGTCTGTGGCTGCAATTTCCACGCTGTAATATCGAGTTGTCTCAAAATCCAATGTCCTTTTCAGACGAACGTCTCCTGTTACTTCGTCTATTACAAATGGCTGAGTAACTTCATCACCTTCGAATAGAGCGTATGCTATGTTTCCGTAAGTTCCTGCATCTAAATCTCGGGCGGAGACAGCGACCACTAAGGAGTTAAGGGGGCTGTTTTCAGGAACCTGTACCTCATAAAGCCACTGCAAAAATTCAGGGGCGTTATCATTGATGTCCACGATTTCGACGCGTACTGTGGTGGTCCCAGATCTGGTCGGAGCCCCGCCATCCAGTGCCGTGAGAATTAGACTGAGCTCAGGTTGTTTCTCCCGGTCCAGCGCTCTGTCCAGCACCAGCTCTGGGTATTTTCTGCCATCTCCGCGATTATGAGTAACAACATGAAAATGGGAGTTGGGGCTGACTGTGTAGTTCTGAACAGTGTTGCTACCTATGTCAAGATCTTGAGCCGTTTTCAAAGGAAACACGGTCCCTGGCTGGACGCTCTCTGGGATTTTTAGGAGCATTTCCCTCTCTAGGAATTCTGGGGAATGATCATTGATATCTGTGACCTGCAGATCAGCTTGGAAAAACTGCACGGGGTTTTCCAGTAATAGTTGGAAATGTAATACACAGGGTTCTGCCGCCCCGCATAACGCCTCCCGGTCTAGTTTTTCATAAAGAAGCAAATTGCCGGTCTTTAGATCCAGCTGCAAGAGCTGCTTGTTTCCTTTGTAATGGATTCGCGCTGCGCGAGTGACCAGTTCCCCCACCCTGAGCCCCAGGTCCTTTGCCAGATTGGCCACAATATGGCCACTTTCTGTTTCTTCTGGCATGGAATACCTAATCACCTCTGAGCCAGCCTCCCACAAAAGCAACATTATAGCAAGAAAGATAACTTGCCTTTTCTGTAGCGTTTCTGCAGGCGCAGTCTCCATTGTTCAGACCAGGTCTAGAAAGCGCAGTTTCTTCAACTCAGTGCATAATCCATTCAGATGACTTGGTTAACTTGGCTAGGCGACGCCCTCTCTGAAGATCTCTCCCCTGGATCTTACCTAAATGCTTCCTTCTTTTAGGGAGCGTTGAGCTGACTCCCGGTTTAATGGCGTCCGAGGTAGCCTCAGAGCCCATTATTCATATTCTTAGCCTGCAGCGCCACCAGGCGTCGTTATTTACTATTGCAGATAGTAACTTGCTATTTCATTCCAAATTTGAATCCTGGTGTATATCCATATCCTTTTAAATTACAAAAGCGCTCTTGATTTTATCTCCAGAGTTAGCTATTGGAATTTCTAAATAAATGCTCGCTCTGTTAATTTTCAGAAATAGTATTGTAGTTTATAGAGCCAACAAAAATAATATATTCATTTTCTCCTTAAAAGCACCTCCTGAATATACAAAGAAATCTTCTTTTGTGCATTTCCTATTTGATTATATCCGTGAAATAATGATAGCGAATACTACAACATTTTAAAAGTTTACAGTAATTATTTTTGAAAGAATTATTTTTATTTAATTTTATTTATTCATTTTTCTAATTTGACCAGGGAGGCACAGAGTGGGAGAGAGAGAGAGAGGGAAAGTGAGAAAGCAAGCCACCAGGTTCAGGACTCCAACTGCGGCCTACCATATAGGAGTCCAGCACCTTTAACCACATCACCTGCCAGCCTCTACAGTAATTATTTTTTATTTTGAAATATAGCACATCAAAAAAGTGCACAAATTTTAAGTGTACAACTCAATGAATTTTCACAAAATAAAGTACTCTTTTTAGAGGGACCTATTGATAAATTAAAAATAAAACATTACCAAGATCCAACATGTCCTCTTCTGCCATTGGTCACTAACTTTTCCCAAAAGATAAACTCTATCTTGACTTTTATGGCCATTTTTAAGCCTCTTTTTAGTTATCATAATTATTTAAACTTCTATACAAATAGAGGTAATAGAGTATTCTCTTGTGTCTGGCTTCTTTTGCTCAACATTATGCATGCAAAATTGATGCATGGCATGCCATTCTAATTTGTTTTATCCTCATTGATTTATACTATAATATTGTAAAAATATTCCAGGATTTGTTTATTCATTCTCTAGTTTGGTGAATATTGGGGTTGTTCTATTTTGAGCTATTTTGAGTTGTGCCACAATGGACATTCCATATGTGGTTTTGATGACTGTATGTACATATTTATGTTGAATATATTAATGAGAGTTAGACTGCTGTCCATTGAGGTGTGAACACATATTTAGCTTTAGCAGATATTGCAAAATAGTTTTCAAAAGTAGTTGTACTATTATTAGCAAAATATGAGAGTTCCAGTTGCTCCATATCCAACTGTTGATGTTGTCTTTTTCATTTTAACCACTCAAGAGTGTGTGGTGATATATCATAATTTTAATTATCATTTGTTTGATGATTAGACTGAATACATTTTTCACATGTTTTGGAGCATCAGGATACATTCTGTCAAGTGGTTGTTCCAGTCTTTTGCACATTTTTCTATTTCAGACATTTGCCTACTTACTTATTGATCTGTAAAAGTTCCCTATATATTCAATAAGTCCTTTTTCAGGTACATGTATTGCAAATATCTTTTCCCACAGTATAGTTTTGATTTTAATACTATTATAGTATCTTTGATGAACAAGACTTCCTAACTTTAAATTAGCCTAATATTTCAATATTTTTCATGTATAGTTATAACTTTTTATGTTGTTTAAATATGTGCATATTTTGAGGTCACACAAGTTTTTTTGTATAATGTATTTTGTAGTTGTTTTTTTACATTTAGAGCTATAATGAATCTGAAATTTTTTTTCAAGTGAATGAGGTTAGGATCAAAATTTTTTTCGTTATCAGTATCTAAATGCCTTTGCACCACCTGTTGCAAAGAAGATTCATTCTCTATTGTTCGTGAAGTGTTATCTTTGTCATAAAACAGTTGACTGTAGGTCTGACGTTTTACTCCATTTTTCTCTTTGTTTATTCTACAACACCATTTAAATTACTGTAGCCTCATAATAGTTCTTATTATCTGAGAGGCAAATCTTCAAGTTTTTAAAAATTAGACTTCAGAGCAACTCAAAGTTCACAGCAAAAATAATAAAGTGTAGAGATTTCCTGTGTACCCTTTGACCTCACACCTGGATAGTCCTCCACTAGAGCAGTGTATTTTTTTTACCACTGATGAACCTACATTGACACATCATTACTACTAAAAGTTCATCATTTATATTAGGATTCATTCTTGGTGCTGTAGATTGTGTGGTTTGAACAAATTTTAATGATATGTATCTATGTTTATCATAGTATATAGACAAGTTCCATTACCCTAAAAATACTCTGTGTTCTACCTATTTATCCCTTCCTCCTTCCCTCCAAACTCTTGGCAACCAATGATCTTTTTATAGTCCTCATAGTTTTGTCTTTTCCAAAATGTCGTATTATCAGAATCATACAGTATTTAGCCTTTTAAGATTGGCTTATTTCAGTTAATAATAGGCACTTAAATTTCCTTTATGATTTTTTATGATTTTCATGAGTTGTTAGCACAGTTCTCTCTCTCTCTCTTTTTTTTTTTTGCCTTAGGGCATGTGTGCTTGCTGGAGACAGACAGAGAGGGGTAAAGTGAGAAATCACCTTCTGGGGCAATCACCACATTGAAATTCCTTCTCCATTCTCCTCTTGGGATTTTGGGCACACATGCACATGTGCCTGGCATGATTTTTCAGGCTGCCAGGTCTAGGACTCAAACCCTGGTCAACCATGTGGAATCCAGCGACGTAACCACCACACCATCTGCTGTCCTCAGCTCATTTCTTATTTATTTATTTTGTTTCATTAAATTTTTTTAAATTTATGTTCATTTTTTATAGTGCTTCATTGTCTGGATGTACCACAGTTTATTTTTCCATTACTTAATAAAAGACCTTTTAATCATATCCAATATTTGAACTTTATGAGTGAAACTGTTACAAACATCCCTGTGCATGGCTTCCAAAGTGGATGTACCATTTTTTCATTCCCATAAGCAATGAAAGAGTTCCTGTTGCTCCACATCCTCACCAGCATCGGATATCACCAGTGTTCTGGAGTTTGCATTCTATTGCTGCATTCTAACAGGTATGCAGTAATATCTCAAGGTTATTTTCATTTGTATTTCCCTGATGACATATGATGTCAAGATATACTTGCCACTTGTATATCTTCTGTTAATATCTACAATCCATTTTAAAATTGAATTGTTTATTTTCTCTTTGTTGAATTTTAATTGTTTGTTTGTTTTGAATAACAGTCTTTTATCAGATATGTCTTTTGCAAATATTTTCTCCTAGCCTGTGGCTTCTCTTTTCATTCTCCTGATAGTATCTTTTGCAGACAAAAAAATAAAGTACAGCTTATCAATTCTTTCTTCCATTGGTATGGTATCTTTAGCTTTATTATTTTTTTTCTAGATTTCTTTGGTTATTATTGTCTATTTGTATGTCGATATCAATGTAGCTTGTCCATTCTCACAAAGTAATCTGCTGAGTTTTTTTTTTTGGGGGGGATTTTATTAAACCCTATAGATTTCTTGAGGGAGAACTGATATATTCCCAACACTGACTCTTCTAACTAGTGAGCTTTATATATCCCTCTATTTATTTAGATATTCTTTAATTTTTCTCAATAACATTTTATAATTTTTTAAGGATTAGTTACTTTATTTATTATTATTTTTAATTTGACCAGAAAGAAAGGAAAAGTAAGAAAGTCAGTCACCAGTTCTGGAACTCAAACTGTGGTCAGCCACGTGGGAGTCCAGTGCTCTAACTGCCATGCTACCTGCTAGCCCCCTGGCTTTATAGTTTTTAATGTATAAGTCTTATGAATATCCTAATATATTTGTTCCTAGGTATTTTATATTTTTGAAACTATTGTAAATGGTATTTCCATTTAAAATTTTTTTAAGAGTTATTTTATGTAACTTTATTTATTTATTTTAATTTGACTAGAGAAGGACAGAGCAAAAGAGAGAGAGGGAAAGTGAAAAAGCAAACCACCAGGTCCAGGACTTGAACCATGATTGGTCATGTGAGAGTCCAGCACCCTTAACCACCATGCCACCTGTTGGCACTTCCATTTAAAACTTTTCATTTTTGTATGTTTTTGAATAGATAAAAACTTATTCTACTGATTTTTAGACTCTTCTAAAATATGCATTTATAGAGTCGGCAGATGGCATAGTGGTTAAAGGCACTGGACTCCCATATGGCCAACTGTGGTTCAAATTCTGGACCTGGTGGCTTGCTTTCTCACTTTTTCTATCTCTCTCTGATAAAACTGGAAAACAATAGTAATAAATAAATTTAAATAAAAATACATTTTTAAAAATATGCATTTATAGTTTAAGCTTTTAAGTCCTGTTTTGATAGGCCAGACCCTAATTTTGAACTACTTTAAAATATTTAAAAAATTTCTAATGTAATTTTTTCCTTTGACTCATGGGTTAAATTTTTAAATTTTGAAGCATTTGGGGATTATTGTTACATTTTTATGTCTGGTTTAATTCCACTGTGGTCAAAGAGTATATCTGAGTCATTCAAATTACCTTTAAAATTTTTTGAGGCTTTTTTTATGACACATAATGTGGACAATTTTGACATACTCCATATACATGTAAAAATAATGTGCATGCTCCAGGGTGCTACATATATTAATTTATTTGAATATAATGTTTATGTTGTTCAGAGCTCTAATATTCTCTATGTGTACATTTTCTTTTGTTTTTCTGTCAGGAATTGAGAGTTGTATTAAGTCTTCCAATATAAATATGGTTTTTCTGCTTTTAATTTGTTGTCAACTTTAGTTATCTTATAAAGATATATTTAGACATAGAACCAACATATTTCTGGTAAATTTACCTTTTTTATTTCTGGTAATGTATTTTTACTTAATGTCTCCTTTTTCATATGTAAGTACAGATATGCCAGGTTTATTGTGGCCATTATTTGTATTATAATCTTAACCCATTTTTAAAAAAGAATCATTTAATTTTTTAAAATTATCATTATTATTATTATTATTATTTAAATTTGCTATGGGGCACACGTGCTCACCAGAAAG